GGGGCCCGGCGGTGGGTCCCGGAACCTGACGCCCTGTCAGACTCCTGCGTCGGCGTCTCCTGGGCACCGAAGGACGCGGACGCAGCCCGGGTTCACAGACACGGAGCGGCTCTGCACCCTTGGCCTCCAGGAATGTCACACATTTTGTCCCTCGTGAAATGTACTCACCAGTGTTCCCAACATCTCCCCGAAGATGTCTTCACGTTTGTTATGATACGGTGTTGTGCAGCGATTCCTTAGCTGAAATAAAATCTAAAAGCCACACAAACCGAGGGCTCCACGCCTCGTGGATTGGGACCCGGCGGCTGTATGGCTTCGAGGTGCCCGGTGTCCCAGAGCTGCAGACTGTTGGTTGTGCTGTGTGTCCTGGAGGAGGAGGAGAAGTGGATCTGGCACTGCCTAGTGGACTGGTGCGGTCCTGACTGGCCGAAGAAGGAGGTGGTAACTGGCCTGGAGGTCTCCAGAGCAGACAAGTGAGGCCTACAGAATGAAGTTGGGGGAGGCGAATTCTGGCTCAGGAAAATGCTTTCTGTAGGAATTAAAGTAATCCAAGGATAGAATGGGCCACCTGCGAAAAGGATGAACTCAAAACCTAGAGTCTCTTTAGAGCTGATACGGAAGAAACATTAGTTGGAAGAAACATAGAAATTTTTGAAATATCTATTTTTTATTGCAGTGAGGGGAGTCTGTTTCTCCTTTCTCCTAAACACCCATACAATGATCATGTGCCTCTTTATCAACTCTGAAAGCAAAGAATTATATACTTCCCCATCGGATGCTTTTGGCTGTAGGTGGGCATCACTTGGCCTATTATTACAATGTTGGAGATTTCCTACCCCTTGTTAACTAAATTCTAAGTGTCCCAGTCATGTAAAATGAACCTAGTGTTATGTGAATAAATTGAATATACTCAAATGAAGGAATTATAATTCAAGAACACAAGAAAACTTGCTCATTTGTTCATTGTACAAATCAATGCTCATTGCTTTCTAGGTGTCAGGCTAATGAATATAATTATGTTAAAGCTGTTATGCTTCGAAAATAAAAACAAATGATCAATACCAGCTGAAAGCTTTTTGAAAGTGCAAAGGGATATAATTTATGACTCCCTCAGTGGTTTGCAGCTTTGTTATTTGACTAAATTGTAAACCATTGGTTAAACTACATTTCAGTTAAGCTGTGTAGAAAAACACATGCCTTGAATGTTCTGTAACTGAAGAATTTAGTAATCATTTTATTTACTGTGAAAAATTCCTCTGAAATCTCCAGTTTAAGCAATTTACAACTGTTAGTGAGTAAACATTTATTTTGGGTTATAAAATATTTTCTCTGATAGCAGATAAATTGTTCATGTTGTTTGTTTCCTTTCCGGTAAAATGTGAATAAAAGCATTAGTACTCAAATACTGCTTATTTTCTATTTGGAAAAAAACCTGGAAGTCCTTTAAGAGAGTATCATTACAAGAGTTTCATGGGAATAATCACTATGTCTTATTACAACAGCCTTTCATGTTATGGTAACACAGAATATTTTATGTATTTGACAAAATATCTTCCATTGTCTGATAACAAAGCAACTTCCTACTTCTTCCTGATTATCTTGGAAGTAGGAAAGAAATATTAGTCTCCAACAGTTTTCATTTTGTACAAGATCACAAATACTGAAAATGCTTATCCATTTGGTAGAATACAAAATTCATCTGTGAGATTTAACAGTGAAACAAAGTCTTATAAACAGTTGCAAATGGTTTTGTTCTTTTTTACAGTGAATTCTCCTGAAGTTTCAACATATTTGTGAAAATGGAAAATGCACGTTAATAATTAGCCCAAATTTAGCTGGGTGTGGTGGCCCATGCCTGTAATCCCAGCGGCTTGGGAGGCTGAGGCAGGAGGATTGAGGATTCAAAGCCAGCCTCAGAAACAACAAGGTGCTAAGCAACTCAGTGAGAGTGAGACCCTGTCTCTAAATAAAATACAAAATAGTGCTAAGGATGTGGCTCAGTAGTTGAGTGCCCCTGAGTTCATTCTCCGTACCTCTCCCCCCCAAAATTAGCCCAAATTTAATAATACAAGTGAAAAGAAGGGTACAAAATACTCAAAACCAAGCCCATCATCTTCCCTTAGAAACTAAAGAAATTCGAGTGTTCTTCACTGAGGATGTTTCTGTTGGTGTAGTCATGTGACTTTGATTTTACATCCTCTCATTCTTTTTCCTCTCTGATTTGCTCAGCCAACTCAAAACCAGCCCAGCTGCAAGACTCCTTTGCATGGACATGCTGTTGGGGAAAGACATTTAAATCATTCTTAAGCACTAAGCCAATGTGTGATTGGCTATTTCCATGCTGACCCTCTTGGGTTACTGGTGTATATATCTACCCAAACTTTTTTCTGTCCTTTAAAGGACTATCCTCAGAATTTCATGCCTATAATTTTCCTCATTTCTGTCATCTGACTGGTCATCTCTTTAATGATTAATTATTTTATCACCTCTATCTACCATTATTCCTGTTCATTATTCTTGGCACCTTTAACCTGCACAGAGATGATTTATCACTCTGGTTTCTAAGTGACTACTTTACCTTCAGTCATTTTCTCCCCATCTCCAACTATCAGATCATATGGTCATACTCAAGTTATTATCACCAATAACTGCAACTCCTCCCAACATTTGATTTCAAATCAAATATCCTATTCCTGACACAATCACTTTCTCTTCTTCCTCATTCCTTCAATTCTCTGATTTCATCCTATCTTCTAACCCTACCACTTTTCTCTGAGCATTCCACAACTGAATTCTTATTTTCTTTCTTGTCTAGATTTCATTGTTCAATACTGTTACTACAGTCTTGCTTAATGCCTTGCTCCTTTTCCACTCTGCTTTGCCTGGAATAATCCAACTCTAAAATCCTGCAATTGAGCTGACTAGACTCAATTCTAATTCATGATCACAAAGTCAGATTAGAATTTGCTATGATTTGGATAAGCATCTCCCCAAGGCCAATGTGTTAAAAGACTTGATTGCCAGCCTGTGGCTTTGTTGGGAGGTGGTGGAACCTTTAAGAGGTGGGGTCTAGTAAGAGGAAGTTAGGGCACTGGGGGTACATCCTTGAAGGAATTTGAGATGCCATTCTCCTTCTTTCTGCATTTGGGCTTCCAGGAGGTGAATAGGCCTCCTCTGCTACATGCTCCCAAAGCAAAAGGGTCCAACAACATGGACTGAAACCTTTGAAACTGTGAACAAAGATGAACTTTTTCCTCCCTTGTAAATCGATTACTTCAGGAATTTGTTGCAGTAACGGAAAGCTAAAACAGCATTCACCACAAGTATCCTATTACCTGGGCTGGGGATGTGGCTCAAGCGGTGGTGTGCTTGCCTGGCACGCGTGCGGCCTGGGTTTGATCCTCAGCACCACATACAAGCAAAGATGTTGTGTCCGCCGAAAACTAAAAAATAAATATTAAAAAAAAAAATTCTCTCTCTCTTTCTCCTCTCTCACTCTCTCTTAAAAAAAATAGTCAACATTCAACAATGAAATCAACTATTTAAAAAAAAAAAGTATCCTATTACCTTTCCCAGCTATATTCCCCTTTTCCAAGATCTCCTCATCCTCAAATATCTACTTAACGATTTCCCTTCTCATACATTCCATTGACACCTATAGGAGCTATTGTCCTCCTTGTATTCAAGCTCATATATCCTGCTTTCTTTTCTGATACATTTGATGAGATTTCTTGACCCCAGTCTTACTCTAGCTACCATCTGATTTTTGTGTTTCCTTTTACAGCAAAGTGTCTTTATTCTCTTTCCCAAACTTCATTTCTCATTCTCTCACCCACTCCAATTGGGCATTTATCTCCAATACTTCGTTGCAGTGACATTCAACCAAGACACAATAATAATATGATTAGGGCCAAAGTCAAGTATCTTTGTTTATCGTGTTAGATTTTTCTGTACCTTTTGACATAGTTGACCACTCCTTCATTCCTCTTGATTAATGTTTGTATAATATATATTTTTTATGCTTTCTTTTTCAACTTATCCATATCCTATATTTAAAAATGTATCTCTTTATAAGTAATATAGTTGGGTCTTATTTTTAATAGTTTAATAATCTTTGTCATTTAATTGGAAAATTTATTCTACTTACATTTGCCTTATTTACTAATTAGTAATGTAATTAGCATTTACTATTTAAGTAATTACAAATATTACTGGATTTACTATTTTATAATTGCTGCTATGGTTTG